CGCTCTCGTCTTGTCTTTTTACAAATTATTCAAAATCTGCTGTCGTCGGGGGTTTTTTCCTCCTCCCCCCTTTCTTTTCACGGTCATTTTAAAATTTGTTCTTAGAATTCGTCGGCTATTGTAAATAATAATAATAGGGAAATGATGATCAATAATTAATTGAAGGGTGGAAAATAAAAACTCGAGGGATGATATTTAAATGGGGGGAGGGGGAGAAAAAAAAGAATTGAAACTCTAAACCGTTTTTGATAATGGGGTTTAACGTTCGAGAAAATGAACCAAAAAAACGAGAAAAAAAATGAAACAGTCGAAAAAAAGGGGAGAGAAAGAGAGAGAGAGAGAGAGAGAAAACTAAAGCTTCGTGCGAGATTTTTCGTTTCGATAATAATAATAATAATAATAATAATAATAATAATAATAATAATAATAATAATAATAATAATAATATAATAATATTAATAATAATAATAATAGGACCGAATTAATATTCATTTTAAAATTATAGTATAAAATATAAACTATCAATCAATCCAATTTTATTAATATCGATCATCTTTTAGATTTCGAGAGCCCTGTTTCATGGCCCCCTGTTGTGGGGGGGGGTGCCCGTAAGAAAACAAATGTTGTTTGTTCGGTGGTTAAAATTGTTTCCGGTTAATTATTAGAAGGGAGAATGGGGGGAAAGAAAAAAAAAGAAAAGAAAACGAAATCTAAAGCAGAAGCTTGTTTTTTTTTCTTTTCTTTTTTTTTTTTTTTTTAATAGAGGATGATTACTGAGATGATAATGATAAAACCCTCCCCCCCCCAAAAAAGAAAAAAGAAAATAATAATTTATATTAAATTTTTGTGATTAAAACGAAATTTGTTTTTTTTTTTTTTTTTGTTACGGATTTAATTTCTTTCTTTCTACCAATTAATTTTGTTTTAATATAAATAAAAGCAAAAGAGAAAGAGAGAGAGAGAGGGAGAGAAAGAGAAAGAGAAAGAAAAATGTAGAAAGTTTTGTGTTTGTGTGTGTTTGTTTGTTTGTTTGTTTGTTTTTTCGAACGCAAGAGTACAACATAAATTTCAATTGGGATCGCCTTAAGGGAATATAATAATAATAATTTTTGTTTTTAACTAATGAGAAAATATTCGCGTGCACTTTTTTTTTCTTTTCTCTCCCCCCCACCTCCCCTAAAGTTGCCCACTTTATTTTCAAACTCTAAAATTATTATTATTTTCTTCTGCTTTTTTTTTTTCTTAACTTAGTAATGAATGTAATTTGAGAATGAATGAATGAATGAATGAATGAAATTTTAATTTTTTATTTTTTGCGTTTTTTTTAAATTTCGTGTCCTCTTCCTTTCCCCCCCCCCTCTCTCTCTGCCTTTTTTTCTCTCTTCCTTTTTCTACCTTTACCTTCTACCGATGAGGAATCGTAATCGTTCGAAGAAAAAAATTATTATTATTATTATTATTATTTTAATCGTTGTCGAAAAGGTAAAAAAAAAAAAAGAAAAAAGAAAAAAAATTATACACATTTTGTATATAATTTAATGTGTGGATTGAGTGTATATAAAAATTAAAAGGTATTAAAAAAAAAGGAAAAAAGGAAAGATGAAATAGAAGACGAAAAAGAAAATATGTATATAAAAATATAATCGAACTCAGAATAATAATAATAATAATAATAAGGCCGAATTTTAACATGAATTTTTTTTTTTTTTTTAGATTTTAATAACGTAAATGACGGGTACGCGGGGGTTTTTGGGTCTCTAAAAAAAAAAATTTTGACATGCGATCTCTCCCTTTTACTCGACCTAGAGCGGGTGACCACCATCGAATCCCCTTCTAATTTTATTATTATTATTATTATTATTATTATTATTATTATTATTACTACTACTACTACTATCGAACACAATGTAAAAATCCGTACTTTCATACATGAGAATAATAATAATAATAATAATAATAATAATGTATTCCACATTACAAAAAAGGAAATTATTACGTCTTGTTGTATTTGTTTTTTGCTTTCTTCGTTTTTTTCTTAAATTCTATCCTACGGGAATGTTTTGGGGATTTTTCCTTTTCTTTCCGGCTTACAACTACCGTTTGTCGATGTTATTATTATTATTATCATCATGCGTATATTTTTGTAAAATGAGCACGCGCCCGCGCACACACACACACACACGTTCGTAATAATTCGAAAAATTATTATTATTATTTTTTTTTTTTTGCTTCAATCAATGAAATCAATTATAGTTTTCCATCATCGTCTGCGTTGTTGTTGTTGTTGTTGTTGTTGTTGTTGTTGTTGTTGTTATGCCAAAATATTTAAATTTGTATCCGTGAATAAAATAATTTTTATAGTAATTTGATTTTTTATTTCTTTTTATTCGCAACGGGCCGGGTATCATCAAAATTATCAGGTACGTTTTTTTTTTTTTTTTTTTTAGTAACCGACCAATTAAATTGCGCGGTATCGAATCGAATCGAATCGAACGAGAGTCGAGGATTCTTTTTTTTTGTGTGTGCGCGAATCCCATGGAAAAACGTTACGTGTTATTAACAAGTTGTTTATATTTATTTATTTATTTATTTTGTAATTATTTTTAACTAATTAAACGAATCGGTATCCTTTTAAAAGAGAGAGAGAGAGAGAGAAAGAAAGAGAAAGGGAGAGGTTTGAGGAAAAAAAAAAAAAATTACGAAGGAAGAAATTTTGAAAAAGAAAAAAAAAAATGTGGACGCGGCATGAATATACTTGTGTGAGAGAGAGAGAGAGAGAGATGGAAAATTTAATAGTAAATTGTTTCAAATTACCACGTACTTAATTTTCTTTCTCTCTTTCTCTCTTTTTTTGGAAACACACTCGAGATCGGTATTTAAATCCACGATTTAAATTATAGGAAATTTTGTTGTTACGAAAAGGAAAAAAATTCACATTCGAATTTTGCGAAAAATTGTTTTTTTTTTTTTTTTTGGAAAAAGAAATTTGGGGGCGGGGTGGGGAGGGGAGAGTAGGGTGAAAAACCAATATTTTTTTTAACGGTTTTCCTTCGAATCCGATCTCCGATTGGTTCCAGTTGAATGAATTTATTAACGAACCTTGTCAGAGGTAAAAGAAAGAAATCCATGGTTATCTGAATTTATACATCTTATTTAAATCATTGCTCGATAATTTATTATTATTATCATTATTATCGATTAATAATTTTTTATTTATTTATTTATTTATTTTCGTTGAAGTATTTTATCTTGACATTGTTTTCCAAGTATGAAAATAATAATAATAATAATAATAATATTGTTGTTTTTCATAAATACACAAACACGCAAAAAATTTATTGTTTGTAGTCGTGATGGTTTTTTTTTTCTCTCTCTCTTTCGAGGAGGGGGAGAGGGAGGGGAAGGAAAAACAAAATGTCAGTTCAAATCATTTTTAAAAAAGAGGCGTAAATTAAAAAAATTTTTTTTTTTTTTATAAATCGACGAAGCGAGTTGTGGAGGAAAATTGCGAGAGAGACAGAGAGAGAGATACCCGAACGAGATAGGCAATAAAAAAAAAAGGACGATTATTGGAATATTTAAATCGTGCCATTTTTATTTATTTATTTATTTACATATTTTTAAAGGTTTTTATTGATAATTGACGATTGTCCCGACGACAACAACAACAACAACAACCACAACAACAAAAAATTGACTTTTGAATGTTTTTCATTTTGTTTAAACGTCATTAAAATCCTTTTAAAAAAAAAAAAAATTTTTTTTTTTTTTTTTTATTACAAAAGAAACGAACGTGAATTTTTCAATTAAATTTTTTTTTTTTGGCAACGCTGGAAAACGCTGGAAATGCGGAGCTGGAATTAAAAAAAAAAAAAAAAAAATTATGAGTAAATAAATTGGGCGGGTTGATGGAGAAAGGGAAATAAAAAAATAAAAAAAATTTTTTTTTACAATTCATCAACGTTCGACAACAATTTCGTGACTGACGTTTGTCATTGCATTCATTTTTAATAGACTTTTCTCTCTCTCTCTCTCTCTCACACCTTCTCTCCCTCCGAATCAAATCAAAATGTTGGCAAGATTGCGAGCGAAAAAAAAATAATTGGAAAATGTGTACGTACGTTTCCGATCTCAGAGTGAAAAAAAAAAAAAATTAATTTTATTTTCTCTATGAAACGATTCGAAATATTGAAAGCAATTATTTAAAAAAAAAGAAAAAAATGTCGCATTTTTTTTCATTATATATAATTATATTTCGCCATTTTTAATTCGCTGTTATTATTACAATTATTATTATTATTATTATTATTATTATTATTATTCAATCAAGGCGTTGTGTAAATTATTTAATAAGATTCGTTATTAAAAAACGACGAAGGGACAAGTAAAATTTGTTTTTGTTTTGTTTTCCTTTTTTTTTTTTTTTTTTGCTATTTTTGTATTTTTGCGATGGATTTTTTTTTCTAACGGTCATTTTTATTCTTTTACGTACCTGATTAACTCGAAAAGTTTAGTAATCGTTAACGGTCTTATTAATGACTTCACCTGTTGTAAAAAAAAAATAAATAAATAAACATAAAAATTTATTAACGAAAAATGTTAGAAAAAAATTAATATTGAAATTATTTTTTTGTAAAAGTTGAATTGTGTTATTATTATTATTACCGAGGTAAAAAATAATTACGTACAAAAAAAAAAAAATTGATTATTATTATTATTATTATTATTATTATTATTATTATTATTATTATTATTATTATTATTATTATTATTTAGGAGATTGGAAATGTTTTTTTTTTTTTTTTGTTAACAGACCGTTAAATCTGAATCATTTATTTTACAAAAAGTTTTTTTTTTTAAACTAATAATTATTCCGTTGAACTTTGCTCGGACGATTGCCGCCAATTTTCTTTGTTTTTTGTTTCTATTTCCGTTTCCTGTTTTTTCCTTTACTTTTTTTTCGTATTTTCCAACAAAAAAAAAAAAAAAATTTTTTTGCGATGGTCGTTGGATGGTCGTTGGATTTTATTAATTATCAAATTAAAGTTTTTTTAAAATTTTTTATTATTCGTTATTGCATTATTGTTATTATTATTATCATTATTATTAAATTTGTTTTTGTTTTTAATTTTTTCAGATCGGACGAAGAAGATCCAACCGGTAATAAATATCCACGTTTGGAAGATGACAGTCTTCAAGACAAAGAACGATTTGCCAGGTAACTATCAACTCCACCATTTTCTTTTTTCAAATGTGTTCGATTTGAATGATTCGGTTTTATTTTTCACTCCCCACCCAAACCGGATTTTCTTTCGAGTTTGAAATATGTATTATAAGTTTCGCCGTGCCGCCATGCCGCCATGCCGCCGATTTAATTAAAATCGAAATTTATAGAGGGAATGAATAAGTTTTACGATTCGTTTACCGCGAAATTTTCGTGGGTCGGTAAGGCAGCAAACCGTGTCATCGAGAAGGATTATTTAGTCTAGTTTGTCTAATAATAATAATAATAATAATAATTGCCTTTTGGTTTTGGTTTTGTTGGTTTTTAGTCAAAGTTTAGTTTTTTTTCTACAAAATAACTGTAACTTTTTTAACAAGTGTTAAGGGGGTGGTCCCCCCACATTTACGAAAAGGTTTTTCCTTTTTTTTTTTTTATGTTTGGCTTCTCGCGAGCTGGTGCAAGAATTAGATGATGAAAATGACGACTTTTGCTAGGATTTTCTATGAAAACTGATCGTCAGGTTTTAATTTTTCGAAATCGTTTTCTTTTTTTTTTCTTTTTTTTATAAATAAAAACAAAGATCGAATTTCATTGACTCGAATTATAGCAAAAAAAAAAAAAAAAAAAAATTCGAACGTTTTGCTATGCGAAGGTCTGATGTTAGAAAAAAAAAAAAAAAAAAAATTTTTTTTTTTTTTGTTTTCTGTTTCTAGACTGATTTCAAGGTTTACGTCTGAATTATCGAAGGTGATTTCAAATAAATTGATTATTAATTTTTCTATCTCTCTCCTTCTCTCTCTCTCTCTCTGTCTCTTTCTTCGTGTGATGAACCTTTGCAGTGATACAAACTCGAATCGATTTTTTTAAAAATCGATTAATCGATTAATCGATTTGTCTGTGTGTCTCTCTCCATTATTTTTATTCTTATTAATTATTATCACAGGTTCTTCGTATATCTCTCTCACGTTTTTTTTCTTTCTCTCTCTCTCTCTCTCTCTCTCTTTCTCATTGAAAAAGGTTTTTTTTATCAGTCGTTATCTGATATCCTTTTTTTGTGGTTGTTGTTTTGGTACCTGTCGTGAAATATTCGAAAACCTTTTGTCGTATTCTCTTTCTAGCGACGAAATTTATCGTTTTTTATTATTTTTTTGTCGGTTTTTTATTTATTTATTTATTTTCGACATTTTTTTGTTTTTTGTTTTTTGATTAACGGATAAAAAAAAAAAAAAAATGAAAAAAAAATGTCGAAAAAGTTTTAAATAATGGATTGATTCTTCCGGTTTGTGTTTGTCTTAATGAACCGTTTTTGGATTATTTGAAAAAGTTACCCTGATTTTTCGTCCGTGATTTTATTTGTTTAAGTTAATTTTTATTTAAAACAATCGGAAAATTTTGTTCGGACCGAATTTAAAAAAAAAAGAAAAATTTAAAACAAAATATTTTGGAATACGCGCGCGCGTCGGCGTCGAATTAAAATACTCGTGACGAATAATTAATAATAAGTCAACAGAAAATTTCATTTGAAAAAAAAAAAAAAAAAAAAAAACGGAGAGGGCGGGGAGGAGGAACGGGGTTTTAATTACGCGAAAAGAGGGGGGAACGCAATAAGGGGAGGGGTAGGAGCGGAGGGAGAGAGAGGAGGAAGGGAAACGGATGCTCCGGCACCGGGGAAAAAAGGAAATGAAATTCCCGAGTGAATGTGGAGGAGAAAGATGGGGAAAATCTTTAGAAAAGGCTCTGTAACGAGTGCCTTCTCCAAATGAAAAAGCTTCGTTAATAATAATAATAATAATAATATATAACCACGGCAAACCTTTCGTATTGTTGTACGATAGCTAGAAATTTGCGCTCGTCAAGAAAATCGGTTAGAGACCTTAAGTAAACGTTGAAAAAAAAAAAAAAAAAAACTTGGACGAATTCCGGACTCGGGACTTGTCGCGTGTAAAACTCGTTATTATGATGACGATAATAATAATAATAATAATAATAATAATAATAATAATAATGATAATAATGATAAAATTTAATAAACTGTTAATATTTTTTATTTTAACTTGTTGTTGTTGTTGTTTTTACCATATTAATTAACCCGTTGGTCGCAATTAGAGATTTCTTGGTTAGGGTTCGACGCAATTACGTAAAAAAAAAAAAATAATAATCATAATAATAATAATAATTTTGTTTTTTTTTTTTTTCTCGAAAATTCTCGGCGCAACTCTGGGAAACTAGTTACTTACTTGTTAACGAGAGAGTGCAAAATGATAATTATAATTATTTATAAAAATTATAGGGGTGAGCGCGATAGTGACGTTGGTCGGTTGGAACGACGGTGGCGTGGCGGTGGTGGTGGTGGTGGTGGGGATGATTGCGGCGGAAGTGGCGTTGCTACATAGATGTTCCCTCGAAGCTATAATCGTTTTATTTTTTATTTTTTCCTTAACGAAATTTTTTCGATGGGATGCTTCGTGCATCTTTTTTTTTTTTTTCTGTTATTGATCCTTGTTTTTAATGAGCCAGTTTTAAAAAAAAAAAAAAAAATTTTTTCCATTGAGAAAACGGAAATGCTCGAATCATCATCGTCGTGTCCTCCTCCATTTCCATACTCCAGCCACGATCGTCGCTCTCTTGCATTCATTTCATTTTTAATTTTCTTTCGATGAGGATTTTCGAAACGAAAGGTTTGGAAAGGCGGATTAAGGGGGTGAGGAGTGGGAAAAGGTTTCGCGAGATCGAGAAATGAAAATAAAAAAATTATTATTATTATTTAACGGTTGAAAATACGATTAAAAAAAGAGATGATGATTATGATGAGTAACGAGTGGCGTAAAGAAAAGAATTGGAGGAAGGGGGAGCAGAGGGGGGAGGAGGGCGGAAAGCGGAAAAAATCGTTTTCTCGACACCGAACATTCTGGAATTTGATTTTTGATTTTTTTTTTTTTTTGGAATAACCCTTTCACGATTATTATTAGTAATTATTATTGTATTGTATGTTATTATTGAGGCGTGCCTTGAAATTTAGTAATTTGTTCTTCTTCTTCTTCTATCAACCGTTCTTACGAATTTAATTTCTCTTGTACGGTAAAGTCGAATGCTTGGGTGAGTGGGTGGGTGGTAAATCATTATCGAATGAATTATACGGATTTATTATTATTATTATTATTATTATTTTTGTGTATTACACGAAAATTTATTCAGAATCGAACGATTGATCGATTGAGTTGTTTTTTTCATTCGAATATTCTTAATTTTTTTTTTTTTTTTTTTTTTTCATTTGAGTTTATAATTTCATAACAGAGAAAAGGAGAGAGAGAGAGAAAGAGAGAGAGAGAGAGAGGGATAGAGAAAAAGAATTTTTTTTTCTTTTTTTTAAATAACAATATGAAGTTATTTGTCTAAGAATTTATTTATTTATTTTTTTATTATGGCGGAAAATGTAGCGTATAATTTTTTTTTTTTTCACAAAAAAGGAGGAAGAAGGAAAAAAGAAAGAAAAAAATGTGAAACTGGTGTAGTTGTTTGATGATTGAGTTAAACAATTTGTAATCTCAGGATCTACTACACAGGTACCCCAGAGTGCATATTTTAGTTGTTTTTTTTTTCTTTTTCTTTTTCTTTTTTTTTTTTTTTTTTTTTTGTTCTCATTTCTTCGAGTCGTGACTTAGGCTCTTGCCTGTTCTCTTTATTCCCACGGGGTAAAGAGAGAGAGAGAGAGAGAGAGAGAGAGAAACTCTCGGATCCGTGCAGAATGAACTTGTACTACAGGCGAAAGATATCTGCCGTAGTCGTACCCCCCCCCGCCCCTGGGGAGCCCGGAACGTTTTTTTCTTTTTCTGTTGATTATCGTTCGTTCACCCCCGCGAATTTTTTTTTTTTTTTACCCGAACAAAAAAAAGTAACGTTTGCCATTTTTCAAAAAAAAAAAAAAAAAAAAAAGATTCTCTAGGCGTAAAAATGGCAGGTATACTTTATCATAATATCATTATCGTAAATTATTATTATTACGAGTTTTTCGTAACGAAACAAAATTAATAATAATAATAATAATAATAATAATAATGATTCATTAAAGGATGGAATTTCCGTGGGTTCGAAAAAAGGTTTTTGTAAACGGTAGAAAGAAGGAGAAATATTTAAATGGGTTAAATAATAACGATTCGCCATTGTGCGTTTTTACAATGCGTAAAACACGTATGGGAAAACGTACAAAAAAAAAAAAATTTCCTATGATTTTTTGCGTTACTTTCCCCTCTCTCTCTCCCTCCCCCTACCTCCCCCTTTTTTTGTTTCGAGAAAAAGTTTTTATTTTTTTAATACACATACACGGGGATATAAATTTTTCGCCATTTTCGAATAAGTTTTGTGTAAAGTTTTTTTCGTTATCTAAAATTGTTCAGGTGCAGCCAAGAAAAGAAAAGAAAAAAGAAATTTTTTTTTTTTTTTTAAACGAAGTTTTCCTTAAACTTTCGATTTTTTTTTTTTTTTTGTAAAGTTGTTTATCTTCTGCTTGTAAATTACCGGAAGTGAGGGGTTATAAATAAATATTGCGCCTTTTCTTTCTATTTTTCCTCTCTCGTTTTTCGTATTATCGATTAAAAGTTTGAAAATTATTATTATTATTATTATTATTATTATTATTATTATTATTATTATTATTATTATTATTAAATTTTTTTTATTCGAAACGTTGTGTTAAGGGTATCGTATATTTTGCGGGGGCGGATCGAAATTTTAAAAAAACTGACAGTATCAAAAGCAGAAAATTTTAAAATTCGTGTTTAAAAAAAAAAAAAAAAAAATCTGACAGTTTGATTATAAGAAACGTTGAGGAAAACGCACACGCGCACACGCACACGCACACACACAAAACAAAAAAATTCTTTCACGTTTTAGTTTTTTAATAATAAAAATTTTTAATTTAATAAAATGATGCGTATTTAGGGAAAAACAAAAAAAAAAAAATTTTTTTTTTTTTTTTTTTTTCGTACAATAACTTGTTTGTTTTAAATGTATAAATAACGTTCAATCGTAAATCCCTTTTATTATTATTATTATTATTTCGTTTTATTACGTATTTATTTTTATTTTATTTTTATTTTTTTTATTTTTGTCGATATGAAATTCAGATTAAAAACTTTGCACGATTTCGGCTTTTTTTTATTTTTTATTTTTAAATTTTTTTTTTTTATAAATTTTTTTACGAGTGTGTGGGAGTGCGTGAGTGCGCGTGTATTTGCGAGCGAGTTTTTCGATAGCATCGAGAAAAAAAAAGCAAAAAAAAACAATTTTTTAATCGATAATAAATTTAGTCTCAATTATTATATTAATACATTTTTTTTTATTTAAATATTAATAATAATAATGAATACGTGCACGCGTTTATTTACATATCGGTTATTTGCGAGCGAGTGAGTGAGTGCACGCGTGCGCGTGCGTGCGCACTCGTGGCAAAACCTTATTGGGTTCATCGTGCATGAAATTGCTTCGTTTTTTCTTCTAGTTTTATTATTATTATTATTTATTTATTTGTACAATTGGAATCATTTAATTTTGTTGTAATAAAAGGTACAAAAAAAAAAAAAAGGAAAAAAATTAAATATAATAAATTTTTTTTTGTTTAAATTTAAACAAACGTCTGATGAATGAGTTAAAGTCACGATATTTTCGTTTTGGCTTGTTTTTAGTATTATTATTATTATTATTATTATTACGTTCTTTAACAGACGTCTGGGTTTTGCAATCGGCGGTGTATCATCCATTCCAGGTTTTCAAATTGAATCCTTAAGGAATGCAACAAGGTTCGATTCTCCGTTTTTGTTAAAAAAAAAAAAAAAAAGTTTATTACGATTAACTTGAATTCCTTTCAGGTTTCGGAAAGTTGAATATCTCTCTCTCTCTCTCTCTCTCACTCTCTCTCTCTCTCTCTTTTTAATTTGCCCCGTGATTAAGTTTTTTTTTTTTTTGGTTTCGTTCGGATCTCAAAATATTTTGTGAGTATATATGTAAAAATATATGAAAGAAATTGATTCGTGAATGACTCACGAATGGTTGGAATTTTTTTTTCTTCCTTCATTTCGGACCGTCTATTGTTTCTTATTTTACTCTTTTTGTTCTCACTGGAGAAAATAATAACAGCAATAATAATAATAATTTGTAGTTATTTTTTTTAAGGGGGGAGGGGAGGAAATAAATTCCATCGTTTCGTAGAGTTTTTTTTGGTTTTCGTGCGTTTTCCTGATAAAATTTTCGTTTTCGACGTTAATTGGTCCGAGAGTTCGATGTAAAAAAAAAAATTAATATGGTGAAAACGTAAAAACAAACAAACAAACAAACAAAACGAGTTTGGTTGTTTGTTTCGAGTCGAAATATATTCGAAAAAAAAAAAAGTAAAAAAATCCGGAAATGGTCAGATATACGTTATCTTTTAACGTGATGATGACCTTAGAACCTTGTCGACGCGACGACTCCAAAAATCTGGCGACAGGTGAAAATTATTAACGTAATAAGTTAACCGTGTACGCACACGCACACGCACACACCACTTTGTTGTTGTTTTTCTTTTTCTTATTCTTCGCACGGTCTCGGAGAAAATGAAGAGAAAAATGATGATGATGATGATGATAAAAATGATTTTTTTTTTGTTTTTTTGTTTTTTTTTTTTATTTCGCATCCGTGTTTGTTTTTATGTTGACCTTTGGTTTGTTTTTATTCTTACTGCAGGGAGAATCACTGCGAAATCGAGCGTCGTCGACGAAACAAGATGACGGCATACATAACCGAATTGTCCGACATGGTACCAACGTGCAGTGCTCTTGCCAGAAAACCGGATAAGTTAACAATTCTCAGAATGGCCGTGGCACACATGAAAGCGCTCAGGGGTAAGTTTTCATTTTTTTTATTATAAGTTTGTGGTTTTGTTCGAGATGTCACCTTTCTCCCGTTTTAAAATTTGACCGTTAAAAAAGAAGTACTTGTCATGTGTGACGTATCGAATCGTGGTAGTAGTCAGTTTTGTAGCAGTAACGACGCAATTGTCGCCAAATTTAAAAGAAAAAAAAGGCGGGACGTTTAAAACGTTATTAACGTAACAAATTCCAGAATTTAAATCTTTGTTGATTTTGTTATTATTATCATCATCGTCTACGAGGGAGCAGGACGGGGAGGGGAGGGAGAGGGGGCGTGATGAGGGACGAGATTTGACGTTGCCATTTTATATCATTAAAAAAAAAAAAATTCTTTTTTTACTTTTTTTTCCTTGTTGTAATTTCGTTCGTATACGATGTCAGGTTTTTTCACGAAATCGGTCGGTGTGACACGTATAATTAAGCTTAAAAACTCTAATTTTTTTTTTTTTTTATTAGATGTATACACATATATATAAAAAAAAAAAAAGATTTTTCATGTTTCTTCCCGGAATTTCTTTTGATTCGAATTTTATGAGGGGGGGGGAGGAAAGCATATGCTTTCGTCATTTGCGTACGAGAGAACGGATTTTTTCTCCCGGCCCTGGCCCCCCTTTTCGCTCCCTTCCCATTTTGAGGTGAACGTAATAAAAATGGGTCGAACGAACGTTGTTTTGGTTTTTTTTTTTTTTTTTTTTCGTTGTCGGTTTTAATTGTTTTTTTTTTTTTTTTTTGATTATAATTTAAAAAAAAAAAAAAAGTGCAATAATTTTTTATGCTTTTCGTAAACGGAAAAAATTTTTTTTTTTTTTTTTTTTTTTTTATTTGGGGTTATTCTTATCATTATTATCGCAAATTAAAAACAAAAAAAAGTCACGTGTTTTTTTATATATTTATTTTAATGCGTTTTTTAATGCGTAGGCGTATATATAATAATTATATGCGTGTGCGTATTACAAGCGTGAATAAGATCGCACGTAAAAATAAAAAAAAAAAGAAAAGTTTGCGGGGGGGGGGTTTATTTACTTTATTATTTAATTTTAATTTTAGAAAATTCTTTTTTTGTTATCATTATCATCTCGACATTTTTCGTTGTCGGGGGGAGGGGAAGGGGGTATAAAAAATGATGCTTATTTTCGTATATAGAATTCTTTGAGAAAATTTCAAGGTTTTGATTTTTCACACGTTTAATTTTTTTTTTTTTTTTTTTTTTCGGGTTCCATTCGTCGTCGTTTTTTTCCCTCTTCTTTCTCCCCCCTTTTCTCACCTCCCCTCATCTCCCCATCCATCTCTGCCTCTACCACTCGCTGTCGATGCTAATGTGCAAATTAGATTCTTCGAATCATACAACCTATTTCACGGTGTATTAATAATAAATCGTTATGTTGTAGTAGAATGACATTGAATGACTTTTAGACTCGCGACGACTTTAAAAAAAAGAGAGGGAGAGGGAAAGAGAGAGAGGAAGAGAAAGAGAGAGGGAAGGGGGAAAAAAAATGAAACATTCGCAAACCGTCTAATTTACGGCGGGTTAAAATAAAAATAAATGATTGCTCGGTGGATTTTTTTTTAAAAAAGATTTTTGACGGTGGGAGATGTCGTGGAAGGAGAACGTATAAAGGGAACGTTACGAAAATTTTCACGTGGGAGGAGACGAGTGACGCGGTAAAGGAATTTTCGGGCAATTTAATTACTTTCGAAAATCGAAATGAAATTCTCGTAATAATAATAATAATAATTTTAGCAGAATTCGAAGGGGTAAACGAACGGGGACCCATTACCACCCCCCCCCCCGTTCCACTTCAAAAGTATTTAAATTCGTTCGGTTTTGTTTTTCCTTATACAATTCGTAAGGAAAGGAAAAAAAATTTAAAGTGGGGGGTTTTTTTAAATTTTAATACGAGTTTACGTGAGCTTTAATGTTATATTTACATTGAGGAAAATAAAAAATAAAAATGGCGGAATAAATTTAAATAAAAATAAATAAAAAATAAAAAAAAAAAAATCGAAAAAGATATAAAAATAAAAAAACAAAAAAAAAATTATGACTTTTTTTTTGTTTGTTGTTTGTTATGTGAACGTTTTTTTTTTTTTTTTTTAAAGTCATGAGAAATAATTTTTTTTTTTTTTTTTTTTTTTTCGTTTGTTTAATGTGGAAAACAAGTTGCCATATTTGTTTTTGTTTATGTTTAAAGTTAAATTTTGTTTTTTCGTTGGTTTTTTTGTTTTTTGTTGTTGTTGTTGTTGTTCTTGTCTTGTTTCTTCTGCTTCCTTTTTCTTTTTTTTTTAATTTTAATGAAAGGTTATTGAAAGGTTCGTGATTGACAGTATTTTTTTTTCTTTTCTTTTCTTGTTGTTGTTGTTGTTGAAAGGATGAATGAATGAATGATAGGTAATAGGTTCGAAAGGATAAAATAATAATAATGAAAATGAAACGTTGAAAGAAGAAAAGGTTAAACGATGATGATGATGATGATGACCACTACTTGATTTTCTACGTGTTTCTATAAAAAAATCCGTCAAAAGTTAAAAGGATTGAAATTTTTTTTATTTTCGTTTTAGCCAAAAGAGCTTTTTCTGTTTTCCTTTTTTTTTTTTTTTTTTTTGAAAAGAGAGAGAGAGAAAGGAGAGAGGGAGAAAGAAAGGGAGGGAAGAAAAAAATTCAGATCTTAATTGTTTTGTTTTATTATTATTATTATTATTATTATTATTACAGAAATCTTAACATGTGAGGAACTTAAATTGTTTTTGATTATCTGGGGTAAAAAAAAAAAAAAAAAAACTAAATGAAATACCTTTTACATGTTTTCATCTTTTATAATTAAAAAGATAAAAAAAAAGAAAAAAAAATTTTAATTGTAAGGGAAGCCCTTTGGAATTTGTTGTTGTTATTATTATTATTATTATTATTATTATTATTATTATTATTATTATTATTATTAAAATAAGAAGATTATTGCGATTTGTTACAATTGTTTCTCTCTCTCTCTCTCTCTCTCTCTCTCTCTCTCTCTCTCTCTCTCTCTCTCTTTCTGTTCACGTTTTATGAGTAATATAGTTATAAGAATTTTTTTTTTAAATGCATTTGCTTTGTACTCGTGTTGTGAGCCTGTGTGGAAATGTAACAATTGTTCGCATCATTCATTTTCATTTTCGAATCCGAGTTTTTTTTTTATTATTTTTTATTATTTTTTTTCTCTTCTTCCGTGGAGAGAGAGAGGGGAGAGAGGTAGAGAGGGGGAGGGGGAGGGGTCTGGTTAATTGAATTCGTGTTCGTGTCTTTGTAATTCCTCGAAAGCTTTCAATTCACCCGTTAAATTTTAATGCCTCCCCGAGTAAATCGGGCGTCCTCCTTGTCATTTTGTGCCTTGCGCTATCGTCGTTATATTGAAAAACAAGTTCACGGTTTTTATTATTATTATCATCATCATCATCATCATTATTATTATTATTATTGAAAACTCGCGCGTGTGCGTGTGCGTGTGTGTGTGATTGTTTTATGACTTATTCTTTAATGAATTTTTTTTTTCTTTTTTAAATTTCGCGGTTTTTATGAATCGAATCAACATTATTATTATTATTAATACGATTTAAAATGTTTTTTATTATCCCGTACCTCAGGTTTCAAGTGCGTGGGGAGGGGGAAAAAAACGTTACGTTGTCTGCTGGATTCCGTGTGTATTTTTTTTTTGTTTGGATGGAGAAGAAGAGAAGAGAAAGAAGATGGCGAGGGTAGGAAAGATGTGATGAGGGGGAGGGGCGTGATTTATATTGCCGAATTTAAAATTTGATTCCTATCTCCTCTACCATTTATTATTTGACCCCATTGTTACCTTTTGTTTTTTGTTTTTTTTGAGGGGGTAGGGGAGGGTTTCCTACGCTTCAACGATTCGTACGTTCACGAAGGTGATGATGATGATAATTTTTCAACAGCGTCGACCGACCGAACTTTTGATGACAATATGACGATAAGAAAGTTTGTCAAATTGAAAATTATATATATTTTTGTGTGTGCAATTTTTAAAAGGGGGAAAAGTTGAGGGGGGTCGAAAGGGGGAAAATGCGGAGGAGAAAGAAAAATTACATTTGGCATTTACCGGGTCAAAGGGTTTCGATCGGGAAAAACAAATGTCGTGTGCTGTCGGGGAAATAAAAAAAATAAAAAAAAAGGAATTCGAAAGCTTTGCTGTAGTTTTGTTTTTTTTTTTTTGTGGAAAAAGTTTTAATTTTGTTAAAAATAAGAAAGGTTAAAAAAGGACTACTGGAAAAAGAAAGAAAAGAGTGAGAGAGAGAGAGAGAAAGAGAAATAGAAAGATTGAATGTATGTGAATACTTTGAGCTCGACAAAGAAATAATTGGATGACTATGTTTGTCTGGAACCATAAAACAAATGGGCCGTTAAGAAAAGGAAAAATAAAAATAAAAAGAGAGAGAGAGAGAGAGAGAAAGAGAAAGAGTGAGTAAAAATTTATTTGTGCGTCTTGTTCAGCTGGAAAGTTTTTTTTTTTTTTTTTTTTATTTCTACCTTAAAACTTGACTGAAGCTTTTTTTTTCTTTTTTTTCTTTTTGCTTTTTATTATTGTTATTTCTTTTCTTTTACTTTTCTTTTATTCTGCTGGTCTTGTTTTTACGATTGGCAATTAGTCCCGTAATCTTTTCTCTCTCTCTCTCTCTCTTTCGTTTTTGAGCCGTAGGCGTGTCGCCCAATAAAAAAACTGTTTACTACTTGATTTATAATTTTTTTAATACGTTTTTAAGTGTAGTCACCACCACCACCACCACCACCGTCACCGTCACCGCCGCCATTACCACCATTATCAGGTAACATCGGTTAAGACGAAGTTGTGTTGTGGTTGTTGTTGTTGTCGTCGTCGTTCCCCGAGTCGAACGTGAAAATTGGTAATAAAGTATTATTTTGGTCAACGTGTCACCAGTTGAATTAATTAATTTTTTGCTACCGTCAATATAACAACGTGTACCTTCAGGTTTTCTTTCTTTCTTTCTTTCTCTGTGAGAGAAGAAAAATAATATTAAATAAAATTCATGAACGTTTAACCGACGAGAGAAGAAGAAGAAGAAGAAGCGGACGAATGAACGAATGCGAATGGCATAGAAATAAAAACCATCGAGTCGAATCATCTTTATAGTGATATGCACGCTCCAGCCCCCTCCCCTCCCTTCACCTTTTCTTCTTCTTCTTCTTCTCCTCACGCTTTTTTCCCCCCCCGTCACCGGTGGTTCAGTCATAAAACAAAGAAAAAAAAAAGGAGAATAGGAGGGACATCATTAGAAGACGAAAAAAGGTTTTTGTGGACGACAATCGCGGCGTGTCTTTTTAACGGGAAACACAAAATGATGTGCATAACGACGGGTGTGTGACGGATGTTGCATTTTAATTTGATGGCAGTCAGGTTGTTGAAAATGGGAAGATGGAAAGAGAGAGGTAGTGCCAGAGAGCGAGCCAGAGAGAGAGAGAAAGAGAGAGCGAGGAGGAGGGGAAACGGAAATGGGGAGCGCAAACGGGAAGATAGGTATATATGATTGTAGATTTAATCGTGATTTGAATTATAATAATAATAATAATAATAATAATAATAAACATAATTTTTTTACTTTTTTTTTTTCGGGTTGTAAATCTTTTCATTTAGCCAAGCTTGAATCTCTCATGATGATATTCAATTTATGTCCAGTTTTTTTTTTTTTTTTTTTTTTTTAATGGTTTTGTCATTTGCACGACGTCCATTCGAGTTTTTTTTTTTTTTTTTATTACTGAACGAACAAGTGGAAACGGGTTGTTGTAAAGGAGGAGGAGTGATGAAAAAGAAGAAGAAGAATAATATAATAATAATAATTCTTTTTCAAAAAAAAACTTATTATTATTAAATTATTATTATTATTATTATTTTTCAAATCGTAAAAAAATTGATGCCGGTGGGTCGGTCGGTCGGTTGGATTCGGCCGCGACGGGAACGTTTTTTTTTTTTTTTTACTACCAAAACGGCGGTAACGTTCGTCTAATGTGTTAATAACAAACAACAATCACGACAACAACAACAACAGCGTTACGTAGCCTAAATAATTTCAAGACGACAAACGAACGCGTCGACGTCGACGTCGCCAACAATAAAGAAACAAAAAAAATTCGCCTTGAGAAAATCAACGGCGAAACGGTAAACACGCTAATAAAAAAAAAAAAAATGATGTCAGAATTCTAAAAAAAAAAAAAAATTCGAGAGTTTAGATAAGCACGTGGTGGTGGTGATGGTGGTTTGTTTATGTTTATTTATTTCTTGCGGCAGCAGAAGACAAAAAAAAAATTTTTTAACGTACATTGATGATGATGATGATGATACATTATTGTAGTAAAACAACTTTTTTTTTTAATTATTATTTCAAGACGTTGCTGCATATGTGTGTGTGTGTGTGTGTGTGTGTGTGTGTATAATTTAATAAATGAAAAAACCGTTATTTTATTAAAATTTTAAATTTCGTCGTGTCACGAGCGAAGTCGGTTGGCGGGAAGGGGAAAGGGGGGGGAAGGTGAAGTGGGGGAAAGCTGATTAGAAGACTAATTAAGAAATTTTTTTTTTTTTTTTGGCATTTCGTTCAAGAAATTTTCAGACGCCGAAAGTTTTGATTTTTTTTTTTTTTTTTTTTTTATTAATTCTTTTGTCAATCAATGAATATTTATGTATTTATATTTAAATGTTTTTTTATGTATTTATGTAAATTAATCCCGGCGGAATTTTGCAGGCCGTTAAGTAATAATAATAATAATAATAAATAAAATTCATTTGGCAACGATTATTAATTTTATTCAAAGAATTTTTTTTTTTTTTTGTAAATGTGACGGCAACGGAAATGGTTGTTTAGAATTTTGTCGTTTATTAACGATAGCAAAAAAAAAAAAAACAAAAGGAAAATGGTGAAAGATGTTTAAGTTGTTTGTTTCGTACGGAAATTTTTTTTTTTTATACCGGGTTTTGCTGTAATTCAAATTGCAAGAATGTGTCCGGATTTTGCTACGGTTTATGGAATTTTATAATTCCAATTGGAAAAACGTAATAGAAAAAAGTTTTGTATATACGATTTTTTGGGATAGTTTTTTGGTTTTTGTTTCTGCTTTGTTTGTTTGTTTGTTTGTTCGTTTGTTGTTTGTTGTCGTTTTTACATTTTTGTATAAATTGTTCGTTTCGTTTGGGAAGTTTTGAATTTAGCAAAAAAGAAAAAACGATTACAGATGGTTTGAAAAAAAAAAAAAAATTGAAAATCTTTTTTTTTGTTTCCCTCCATTATTTTCTACGCCCCTCACCCCCCCCAATTTTTGTTCTTTTTTCGGTGATAATTTTCATTTTGTAAATTTTTTTTTTTTTTTGGAAAACTTGTTTTCTCTTTTCGTATACATATATAAATATTGTCGGTCGCAGGTGCTCTGTTGCGTGATATGAAGAAAACAAACCTTCGGGTGGTGGCGGCGGTGGCGATGACGATGGTGGTGGTGGTGGTGGTGGTGATGGTGTCGATGGTGCGCGAATGTAAAAGGAAAGAAAAAGAAGATATAAAAGATGAAAATTAACGGAATCACGTAATACGGAAATCCGATAATGGAACAATAACTTTGAATTATTTCTTTTCGTATGAAATTATTATTATTATTTTTTCTTTTTTTGTGGGGGGCGAGAGAGAGGGAGGAAGGAAGGGAGGGGGTAAATTGTGTTTTTCGGATGGAAAACTTTTCTTTTTTCAAATGGAGGGTAAAAACATCGTGTGGAATTTTTCTTCTCTCTTTCTCTCTTCGTTCCCTAAAGCTCTCTCTCTCCTTGTCTTTTTTCAAATTAATTTTTATTATTCGAACTTTGCTTCTTCGAAAAAAAAAAAAACGATTATCATATTTTATTAATTTTCATAGTTTGAAATAAACGCGGAGGAAGAAGGCGGGGGCGGGGGCGGCGGGGTTCGATCGCAAAAAATTGGTTTTTGACTTTTTGTTGAATTATCGTTAGGGAATAAAACCAAAAGTTTTTTTTTCTTTTCTTTTCTTTTTGGTTTCGTAGGTTGTTGAAGCTTTCTTCCGGTAAATTACAGTCTCCCCTCCTCCTTCCCTTCTCTACGCCATCTTTTTTTTTCTACTTCGAATACCTGATTTTGGTCGACGTAGTTTCCATTGCAAAGCGAGTTTAAAAGGTTTCAAAATTGGTTTGTTTCCCTTCCATTATTACGAACATAACCCGCCGTCTCGCCTATTCACAGGTTCGAATCAAGGTTTTAGGATGAGAATTTATCATTATTATTATTATTTGTTCCCCGTTTTTTTTTTTTTTTTTTTTTTAATTCGTCGGGTAGGTTGATGTAATTGGAGGTAGGTACTTTGGAAAAAAAAAAAAAAAAAAATTTTTTTTCCAGGTATTTTTATATAATGTCTTAAACGCGTGTATCTCTTTCGTCCTTTACAACGCGTTCAAATACGTTCGTTGTGACGTCATTACTTCTTTCTGATTCCACGAAAAAAATAAAAAAAAAAAAAAAAAGGTATTTCGAAAAAATACAACTCCATCGATAAAAATTTAAATTTAAATTGTGACACATCATCATTCGGTTACCCAGACTTTTTTTTTTTTTTTTTTGTTTTGAATGAAATTATGATATCAGGGAGACCGCTTTTGAATATTTAATTGAAAAAAAAATGCGTTTGTGCGTGCGAGCGTGCGTGAGTGCGTGTATGTATGCTTGTAAGTAAGTAAAGTTTTTTTGTATACCTACTTTATGTTTATTATTATTAATAGTAATAATAATAATAAAAAAAAAGATATGGGATTTGGGATTGGTGACAAAATCTTGTAATATGGCCACCGGACGTTTTGCGCCTTGAATAGTTATTAAGTGTTTTAAAACTTCTTCACACAAGGGCACTCGAAAAAAAAAAAACTTTTTTTATATACGTGAATATCATTACCACTCTGAAAATATTTATTTATTTTTTATTTTATTATTATTATTATTATTATCATCATCATCATCATTTCTTACCGTCATTAACTATTTATAACCGTGGCTAATGTCAAAAACAATGATTGTGATGATGATGATGATGATGATCATTATCACGGAGACGCGGTGACGATAATGATGATGATGATGATGATCGTAATGTGGTTGTAATGAATAATGATGGTAGTGCAAAAGAAAGAATAATGACGGCGATGATCATGATGATGATGATGATGATGATAATAATAATGACGGTAATGATAATTTTTTTTAGCCTGTCGTCTGCTTTTGTTTTCGTTACCTTTACTCACCTTTGTTTTGTTTTGGTTTTTTTTTTTTATTATTATTTTATGCGTTGGAGGTCGAGTTAAGGTTTTTATTATTATTATTATTATTACTATTATTATTTTATCGATCCGAGTATGGATTGATGGATGGATGAATAATAGAAACGAATGATGGATGCCTAATCGATTATTATTATTATTACTATCATTATTAAATACTCATTATTAAAAAAAATAATAATAATAATATTTCTTTATTATTATTATTATTTTATTTTTTTTATTTTTTTCCTCCACTAAAAGAGGTGCATCTTCGATTCGTTACGTATATATTGACTAATTGGCTTGATCGATAAATTGATCGATTGATCGATCGATCGATCAAACGATCTATCGATACGTTTTTTATTTATTTATTTTTTTTTTTGTTTTGTCGTCGTCGGCCTAGGATTTTGAGGTTAAAAGTTTTTTTTTTTTTTTTTTTTTGGTGGTAAAATAATATTTAAAATATTGCGTGAAGGTGATCTTTATTAAATGATGATGATGATGATGATGATGATGATTCCAAACGTTTGAAATTTGTTGGAGCGGATGTGTCATGTGTTGATGACGTCTGTCTTCGATGGCGACGATCTGGATGATGAGAATGATGACGTAATTTTTTTTCCTTTTTCTTTCAGGTACGGGTAACACATCGTCGGACGGCACCTACAAACCCTCTTTTCTAACGGATCAGGAATTGAAACATCTCATATTGGAAGCCGCTGACGGTTTTCTATTCGTCGTCACTTGCGACACGGGTCGAATAATTTACGTGTCGGATTCCGTGACGCCCGTTTTAAATCAATCTCAAAACGATTGGTTCGGAAGTTGCATTTACGACAACGTTCATTCCGAAGACGTTGAAAAAGTGAGGGAACAGTTGTCGACGCAGGAACCGCAAAATACGGGAAGAATTTTGGATCTCAAGACTGGAACGGTTAAAAAAGAAGGGCATCAGTGTGAGTAGTACAAAAAACCTAGTGTGTACCTGAAAAAAAAACAAATTTTTTCCCCCTTAACCATCGCGGCGTGTCGTGTCGTGTCGTCGTCGATCAACCTTAGGGCTCAAATTTTTAATTAATTATTGTTTATTTTTAGCAACCTAAACGTTATCACGGTTTATTTATAGAAAGTAATCACCGCCATTTTTAGATTTTGAAAGTCGCGGGGGGGAGGGGAAATAATGATAATCATTGCAGTCGGTTATGCGAAGATTTTGATGATTTCAAATCCAACTGAAAGCTACATTTGCAGTTTCGAATTATTTCGAAAAGAAGTTAAATAATCAAGATAAAATAGATTTTGTGTGTAACGAGTCAATAGTAGAGCTGTCACGTGATCGGGTGGAGAAGGAAAATGATTTAAATAAATTTAATAAAACACGAACGAAAAGGGCGGAATAGAGTTAGAAAAAGTTAAGAAATTTTAAAATAATAATAATAATAATAAATAAAAAATATATAAGAAAGCGGACAACGAGTCGATCGGTTCGTCTTGTTTACGATCTCGAGTTTTGCTGCGGTTCAAAAGCACGCATTAATACACGTTAATTTATTTTGAATGGTTTTTTTTTTTTTGTTTGCGACCACCACGATTGTGTTGCATTTATTATTATTATTATTATTATTTATTTACTTATTTATGGTCTTTGACAGGTTGACCTTTAATTGAGGTCACTTTTTTTTTTTTTCTTTTAATTTTTTTTTTTTTTTTTTTACTTTTTTATTATAAATTAGTGGCAAAAGGTAAAAAAGAAAAAAAAAGAAAACGGGGCCGAACGATCCTTGAGCCGTTAAATAAACCCTGTCTTTCATTGAGGTCATTGCCTTTCCTCTTTTTTTTTCTATTCGTTCGAGTACAAAAAAATTTGTTTAATAATAATAATAATAATAATATTTTTGGTTTGTATTACAGCGTCAATGCGACTTTGTATGGGCTCACGTCGAGGTTTTATTTGTCGTATGAAAGTAGGAAACGTATCCTCGGATAACATGTCGGTAGGACATTTAAATCGTCTTAAACAAAGGAACAGTCTCGGACAAAGCAGAGACGGTCAAAATTATGCCGTCGTTCATTGCACGGGATACATAAAAAATTGGCCTCCGACCGGAGTTCAAATGGATCGAGGTGGTGAAGAAGATGGGTCTCACTGCTGCCTAGTGGCCATAGGACGCCTTCAAGTGACGTCAACGCCGAACACGAGCGATCTTTCCGGATCGAATAACAACGCCGAATTCATATCGCGGCATTCGATAGATGGAAAATTCAGTTTCGTTGATCAAAGAGTCATGGGTCTCCTGGGTTACACACCCCCCGAGCTTTTGGGAAAATCTTGTTTCGATTTCTTCCACGTAGAAGATCAAACTCACATGAAGGAAAGTTTTGAACAGGGTGAGTGTGAATGGTTACCCTCGGTGTCACCCGTGAACGGAAAAAAGGGAAAATTTAAAAAATTTTCTTTTTTGGGATTGTTTTCAGTATTAAAATTGAAGGGTCAATTGATGTCAGTCATATATAGATTCAGGGCGAAAAACAGAGAATGGGTTTGGCTTAGAACTTCCGCTTTCGCGTTTCTCAATCCGTACACGGACGAAGTAGAATACATAGTTTGCACCAACACGACAGCAAAGTAAGTCGGAAAATTTATGTTTTCCCGTTAAGTAATTAATTGTCATTCATGTTAAAATTAAATGTCTTACTTCCTGTCTGATTCTCCGACAGGTCTTTGCATTCCCATAGTGAAAATTCAACAAACGATGGTTCCAGCGAACCTGTACAATATCAACAACCGGGATTAGATTACACCATACAGAGAAGGGATCCAGTGTATTCGCACATGATTACGTCTGCACATATCCATAGTAAGGAAAAATTATATAAATTTTTGTTGTTCGGTGTCGAATCGATCGATTAATTGTTTTTGTTTCCCTCTCAAGATAATCAACAAGGTAGACCAGCTAGCGCCCAAAACGTGTACACAAGTTATGAGCCGACACCGTCACCCATAACAGGTTATGGTTCACCGACAACAAGCGGACCAAACAGCAGTTCCGTCCTAAATCGGATGTCGAAAACGTCGACGACAAGTCCCACACCGGCGCAAACGGCTTGGAGTCTACGACAGCAACCCGTCACGGAGGGTTATAATTATAGTCAGTTGTCGCCGTCGCGATCTCCAAGCGGACCTACCTACACGCAATTAAGCGGCGGAACGAGAGGAACTCCGTATCAGGCCGCACCCGGAAATCCAGGTAAGGAAAAAAGGAAATGTCACAATGTCGGGGTGCATACGTTAAGGGATACGACGTGACCATCGGAAATATCATTTTTTTTTTTTTCTTGTTAATTTGAAGGTATGTGGGGTTGGCAAAGTGCAAATCAAGGTACTGAAGGTACGGAGCCTGGTTCGAGTGGGCCAACCGGGCATCCGGCCGTAGCTCCAGGACCTCCAGGTCAAGGACCCGTACCAGGACAGCAACCGCAAGAATTATCAGACATGCTACAAATGCTTGATCAGGGAGGTGCGAGTTCTTTCGAAGACTTAAACATGTTTAGTTCGACGTTCGAGTAATGTAATAAAATTCAAAGAGAAAAATAAAAAGAAAAATTTGGTCGTCGTCGTCGTCGTCGTCTGTATTTTTTATTAAACGAGAAAAAAGAAAAACAGTGTTTAACTAATGAGAAAAAATTTTTTTTTTTTTTTTTTTAATTCTGTGTAAAAGAAAATAATTTTTAAATATGGACATTAGATTTGTAGATGTATAAAGACAACTAAAAAAAAAATAATAAATAAAAATAAAAATTTTCATATCAATTTCAAGAATTTTTTATTTTTCAAATATCAATTTATTATCCTTCATATTATTAATTCGATTTAAACGTCGATGATGATAATAATAATAATAAGATAACGGTCGTCGGTGTCGGTGTGGATAACACAAATTTGGTTCTTGGTGACTCCACCGTTTGGATCACGCTTTACTCTTGGTTTTAATGATCTTTTTGGATCTCCATTGGAATATATGCCGAGAATATGGAATGGATGGATTACCCAAGGAGTGGTACAACCACATTCTAAGCCCGGTTACGACAGTAGGTTCATGCACAGTTCTGTACGAACAACAAATCCAAACTGAGAGAACTGTGCCAGCCAACAAACCGGATATCATCCTGAGGCAGGGTGCTGAAGGGTCGGGGGAAGGGGGTTGTCGCGCCGGTACTTGGTTCGTATCCGAGGACGGCGCGGCCGCGATCGTTTCTCGAGCTCGGCGCCGGGTCCAAGACCTCGGGAATTGTCCCGTGGGAAAGATTTTGTCATCGCAGGCTAGGGAAACTGGGTCCTGGTTTCGGTATACGCGTCACCAAATCGTCCGCTGCGAGCTTTCGAAGATCTGTTGCGGGCGATCGCGAGGGAGCTGGATAGGTTCGGGAATTCACGTCCGATTCTCATGTCCGGGGACTTCAACGCGAAACACGCATCGTGGACAGGATACACAACCAATGCCCGCGGCCGATTGCTCAGACAGTGGTTAGACAAGCGTCATCTCATCGGGTCGAACGCAAAAGGAGTCAAGATGTGCGTGCGGTCCACCGGCGGGTCTACGATCGATCTCACGGTTTCGTCCGGTTCGGCGGCGGCGCGGGTCTCCGGCTAGGAGGTTCTCTCCGACTTCGAGTCCCTCAGCGATCGCTACGCCTACATGCATTCTCGTTCGGGGATCCTCGGAGCTCGGAGGGGGGGAGGCAGCCTCCTCGTCCGACGGGCTCTGCGTCGTCCCGCCCCGGCGGAGCCTGAGATCGTTCGACGACGAATGGCTCACCGAGTGTCTCGCCGCGAAGGCTTGGAGAGACGACGTTGCTCCAGGCGCAGCAAGAAAAAGAAGCGTGCACAATATGGCGCGGGGGGTTCGGGACGACTTACGACGGATCTCGGATTCCTGCATGAATCCTGCATGAATGTTAGGCTCGCGCTCGAAAACGCATACTCATACCGCATACTCGGCAAGTCCGCCGGGGTGCTGTGTGGGCGTCTCTCGGCGCTCTACACCGCGTGCTTCCGAGAGGCGACGTTTCCGACCACGTGGAAAGAAGCCAACTTAATTTTGCTCGACAAACCGGGTAGGGATCCAACGACGCCAATCGTCCAATTTGTCTTCTCGATGCAGAGGGCAAGTTGTTCGAGCGCGTGATCGCGTCCCGGATAGACGAACACTTACGATCAGGGGGAGAGAGGAACGACCTCTCCGAATCAGTACGGCTTCCGGACGGGCCGTTCGGCGACCGACGCACTCGATCGGGTGTGCGCCGCAATCCGGGACACACCGCCGGGGCGGCGTCGCGATCGCCGTCTCCATCGACATCAAAACCCGTTCAATTCGGTACTTTGGTCCGCGATAAGGGACGGGCTGACATCGAAATCCGTGCCAGACTATCTGACATCGATCATCGATTCATTCCTCTCGGAGAGGAAGATCGCGTACGAGAAACCGGACGGAACGACGGAAAGGGCGGACGTGTTCTGCGGCGTGCCACAGGGATCGGTTCTAGGACCACTCCTGCGGAATATTGCCTACGACCGCGTTCTCACCCGGACCGTTCTTCCCGAAGGCGTGGTTCTCGATTCCGGTCTTTACTTCGGTGTACATCTGGCGCACCTCGGACCGAAGATCCGAGCCGTCAGCGCGACGTTAGGACGCCTGATGTCGAACCTGCGCGGACCGCAGGGGATTTCCGGGGGGGAAATAAATAACGTTCTTGGCCCCCGATTGGGGCACTGGGTGAGGCGGGATGGGATCACGGAAACTTGACCTATCGTCTCACCCAGGTCCTCCCGGGCCACGGGGTGTTCGGCTCGTACTTGGCGCGTAAAAAGTAAAATTTTTTTGTCGTCACGTCGCTCTCCCTTCTCCCTCAAATTTCCCCGAAAAAAGAACAGAACAAAACGTTCGATAAAAAATGAACGCCATTTTTTTTCAGTAAAAAATGATGTCATCGATTTCAAAATGCAACAAGTCGAATTCAATTAAAATAAAATAAAAAATCTCTTAGTCATCTTTCATATAAAAGGAAAATTTTTTTTTTTTGTACAATTTATTAAACAAAACTTTTAAATTTTATTATTATTATTATTTTTTTTTTATTTCCCTCTATATTTCTCTCTTTCATTCCAGTAACGTAATAATAATAATAATAATAGTAATAATAAAGTCAACGGCCATACCGTGCTGAACACACCGGTTCCCGTTCGATCACCGAAGTTAAGCAGCATTGGGCGTGGTTTGTACTTGGATGGGTGACCGTTTGGGAACGCCACGTGCCGTTGGCTTAAAGAGCAAAAATGAGAACAAGACAAAGTAAGAACCAAAAAAAAAACAAATCTTGTTCTACTGTCGACCTGAGGCAGCTCAACGAGAATGTGAATTTCACTGCTTCTGACCCTGGCCACTCCAAAGATGTTAGTCACTGGAGCCCAGTTCAGGAGACAAATCGTTCCCATCGAAAAAGACGGACTCAGGAAGACCTTCAAGAATTGATGTGGTGCTATCTTATAATAAGTGGCACCACCGAAATTCGAGTATTTGTCCCTAAGGAATCGGGTAGAAACCTGGGATAAATACTTAAAAACCCCGACAAATAGCCTTGTCGTGTTTAATGGTGGATAATAATAATAATAATTGTAAAGTAGTGTGCGACGGTTGATGTTCGTTTACGTCATGTCGACTTATTTAAATAATTTTAATAGTTTTATTTAATATTTTATTTATAAATTATATATCAAAAATTTTGTAATTAAGTCTAGTTTATTGTGATGTAATTAGTTTTTTATATTTTTTAGTAATAAATATATTATTTTAATTTTAAATATACAAATAGACTGTAACTTTTGTAACAAAAATAAAAGTGATTTAATAAAAATATTTATTAATAATTGATTTAAAATTTTTGTACACCTGATTTTAACTATAAATCCACACCTCCATTTCGTCCTCCAAATCCATTCACTCGTCATTTGAAAAAAAAATGAACCTCTTCATTCTTATGTTTTTCTAACGTAAACAAAAACAACAACAACACCAAAAAACGTAAACAAAAAAAATAATCAACCCCAAAAAAAGTAAAAAAAAAAAAATCAACACCGAAAAACGTAAACAAAAACAATAACAACAACAAAAAACGTAAACAAAAACAACTACAAAAAACGTCAACAACGACAACAACAACAACTACAGGAGAAGGAAGAGAAGGAAGAGAAGAAGAGGAAGTAGGAGAAGAAGGAGAAGAAGAAAGAGAAGAAGGAGAAGGATAAAGAGAAGGAAGAGAAGGAGAAAGAGAAGGAGAAAGAGAAGGAGGAGAAGGATTTATTAAAATTGTTTAAAATTCTCCTTTTTTTGTGATAACATATCATCAAACATAATTTTTAAATAATTTCGATTGTTTGTTGTTGTTCTTTGTCGGGCAAACAAATGAATAGGAAAATTTTCAAAATTCCCTTAAACATAATAAAAAAAACAAATCGCGACGTCGGCGTCTTCTTATCATTTCCAAAACGTTTTTAATGTCATCAACCTTAAAGGTTCGAATGATTTTTCCCTTCGGAAAAAAAATTTTTTTTTTAACCGAACTGTATGCAACGATTTAAAAAACAATAAATAAATTTATTAAAAAAACGCATTCGTAATTCTCACATCAGTATATCATAAACCCTAGCCGTCGGCCAACAAACCAGATGTCATCCTGAGGTATAATATAATACGGAAAAGTGGTGTAAACTGATTGAAGTATCCGTGCCGGCAGAAAAAAACACGAGACAACCAAAGAAGCAGACAAAAAGCTGAAGTACAGAAATTTAGAAATTGAAATAGCAAGGTTGTGGGGAACAAAAACAGAAACCATTCCGGTCATCGTGGGAACACTGGGAACCATGCCATTGTAATTCGATCGATCGAAGCAAATA